AAGAGCGTCTTTGTTCCCAGACTTGAAGGCAGCATTACGTGCTCAGCATGTGCCTCTCTGGTGAGCCAGGGTTTCTGGTTGGCATGCATGGTGATATTCTTGATTACGGTCACGTCTTCCACACACTTGAATATGAATCCTGTCACAGACTCAGTATACTCCCCCAGACTGATGTGCTGTTTGACAGTGGCAGCCTCTCGGAACACATTCCAGTCAGTGCATTTAAAACAGTCTCGAAGTACTGAAACTGCTCCCTCTGGCCAGGTCCTTATCTGCTTCACAGATGGCTTGCCTCTGGTTAGCAGTGACCTGTATGCTGGAATTAGCATAACAGAGAGATGGCCCAAAAATTCCTACTAAAGTCTGAGTAGATTGATAGATCAATATGATGACCAGTTATTAATCTCAGTTTTACTAAGCTCTCTTTTGGGATGATTGAACTGAGTAGTCTCCTCAGTGGTGGACATGTTCACAAGTGATAAACTTAGCCTTAGTATTGTACACGTGCATGTGTTTTGTGGCAAGTTAAATACATGTCATTAAATAAAAATCGCATAACTACTCACTTTAAAGTCAAATTTGCGTTTCATTTTGGGATATGGTGAATTGTTCACTTAGACGGCAGTGGGATTCTGGGAGCAGCAGTGGACTGAAGCAGGTAACGAAAGCCAAAATAATGTTGAGAATTTCATTTAAATAAGTTCATTTCTAATGTTAGAAGAATTACATGAAGAAAATTGCCAACAGTAACAGTGAAGAACGGTGTGAATTAAATAAGTACAGCAATTGCAATTTTGCTCATGTGTTTTATCAATACATATTCTAAATGTATTCTAAATGAAATCTGAATACATTACTGAATACATTTAGGACAATCTCCAGTATTCAGCCATCACTACTTTTTCAAAGTGTTCTGGCAAACACTGTTTATGATGAAATCAATTACAAAGGGCAAAGCTCTTGGTTTTAGTAACCCTAACCTTTAATTTATTATTGACTATTAGCAGTTTTCAATACCCAATTTATAAACAGAAATAAGAACCAAATAAGGTCCTCAATTGTCATAATACAATCAGGTAGTAACTGTTTCATGACTACTGTGTCACTATGAAAAACCACTTCCCCATGACTTTCTATTAACAGATGCAACAGATTCTTTTTACGGCTTTCTTCTGAAACAGTCCTGCAGAAGTTAGCTTCCTCTGCCTCACACTTCTCCACATAGCTCTTGCATTCAGCAGATACTACGTCCAACTTATCCTCAGTTCTTTCTGGGCACCATTAAACTGGTGGAAACATTGCTCTAACCTAAGCAGCCTGAGCACTGAATGCAGAACCTGATCAGAAGCTATGAAATTGCAGCCCACCTGGGGTGCACAGGAATGTTCCATGATGGCCTCAACACATCCCTCAATGATCTGAGAGATTCTCCTTTCACGTTAGTTAATGTGCTTCACATTCTCACATTTACTGAACATAGTGATCACAATCCTTTCACATTACACACCACCTGCTGAGTTAAGCACCTCATCACTTTGTCTGAAGCCCTCATCGGACCTGAACAATAATGGAGAGGACTCACTGTTGAGTCACTGGCTCCCCCTAGGGAGCAGTAGTCACAGTCAGAAGTGGTTTTAAATGATTTCGCTCAGGCATGTGGAAGCTTTGGTAGATTTGTTTTCTAAAACAGTACAGTCCTCTGCAGTGCTCAGTTCCTGTGCCTCCAACAGATCCTGGTGTATTGAGGTTACTCACTTAAATATTACGTGGTTGCTATTCCTGCTTATCACATGCATGTGGGAGGGCTATCACAGGGTACACATAATTTTAGCAGTGACTTCCTTAAGGAGACATGCAAGAACACTGTACGATTTGCCTTTGGTGTTATACTGTTTGTGACATCCAGTCTTTGAGCTTTTGACAAGTTCACAGAACATGTGACTAGCTGATCTGGAATCAGGTAATGCATTTTCCATAGGATTAATAAGATTACATAGAGTCTTAGATCAGTCTTCTTACTTTGAGACGCTAGATAAATTCAGGCCATTGGCTGTGAGATTGTAGTCTCAGCTTCAGTGGTATACTGACTGTGTGATATTTATTGTACACTAAGATGGCTACAGCTATCACAAATTTGTCAATTACATTCATGATGGCTCAGCTTGTCCATGAGTTTGCACTTCCATGCAAATGTTTTTATCAGTCCAATGGGAAACTTTTTGCAAGCAGCAAGCCTTTCGGAGCAAGATATAGTCTCTGGATTGAAAAAAGTGTGATATTCACAGCATTTCATCTATAAAAGTTCAGCTCTGAAGAATTTTATGAAACCTAACTGCCCAGTCTAAACCTTAAGACATGTGAACTTAAGTGCTAGGAGTTGTGTTCATGATTAGATTTAAATTTAGAGTAATGTTACTCAAAACACATATAGAGCCTTTATGTAGAACACAGAGTATACAACTGTTTTAGTTGTAATTACGATTAGAGAGAATGTCAAAATGAACAATTATTCGCTAATGTTAACTAGGGTTAGTTTTAGAGTTTCATTGAATGAAACTGACCCTATGCACTGACCTATTGTTCCAATATACAATCTGCCAAGGGTCCAACAGCAAGGGTCGTGATATGCTTCATGTGTGCCAACACTGGCCATGACTACAGAAGTCAGGGTGATGGGTCTGCAGTCATTCAGACTTGTTCAGTAGCTTTTTGGGGGATGGGTATTATCATAGAGTGTTTGAAGCATGCAGGCATTTCACACAGCTCCAATGATCTGCTGAGGATCTGCATGAAGACCAGTGCAGGTTGGTCAAAGCAGATGGTTAAACACCAAGGCACTGTGGACCTAGTGCCTCAGTGACCTCTAGAAAAGTTGGCGGACATCCTCTTCACAGCTCTTCAGTGCAGGCTGAGCTGAATAGCTGTCAAACTTGGGGGAAGGGGTGCTGATGTTTGTGCTGTGATTTATATGAGGTGTGAATTGGTGCTGGAGGAGTGTGCAATGCTGGGCTATTCAAACCTGCAGTAGTAAATATTTAACTCATTAGCCATCCAACAACCCCCTGTTTTGCGGGCTTTTCCACACAGTCGTTGGGTCTTTGGCTGACAGCATACTACTCAGTTTGCTGGAGTAGCTCTTTTTGGCTGCTTTGATCTCTCTTGTTAGAAGGTTTCTTGCCCAAATGTACAGAGAGAAGCTCATGTAAGATCTTCCACTTACCCAGATGTAGTTGATGTGCTGGACATGTCTGGTGTCCAAAGTTTGCTTCTTTAGTTTAGCACTGGAGCTACAAGGCTAAGGTTGCTAACACTAGCAGTCAATAGTTTTGATTGATTTCAAATATTTTCCAAGTACTAAAAAGTTCTCTTAACGTGTTCAAACCCCACCCAGGTCTTCACTGAGGTCACGCAGACTTGTTCATGTGGTTTAGCAAATAGTGTCACTTACTGTGAGCTACAGAAATGAGCAAAACTTCACAATATTGCTGAATGCAGCAGGCAGCCATTTCAGACCACAGTTGTTGTGCTGAATCTGGCATGCAAGTATATAGACATATATGGACAGATTATGTTTGTTATTTCTGTTGTTTGTTTTTACAAACATGTATCTTCATCTTGGAAATTTAGGATTAACAGTTATTTATAAATAGAAACAAAAGAAATTGAGAATGTTACCTATATTCATATGCCTGTGTGATGTCAAGATGAGTCAGAATTTGACACAACACCTGTTGTTTAGAATGTCTGCCTGCAGCGTTCAACTATACAGTGAAGTTTTGTTCATTTTTATAGCTCACAGAAAATCAAACTGCATTTAAAATCACACTGGCAAGTCCGTGCTGCCTTGATAAAGACCTGTATATGGTTTCACTGACGAAACCATGTATTTAATGTATTAAAGGGGGGGGGGGTTATGTTTTAAAAAAGATTTGGGTGACCATTGACTTCTAGTGTTTCTTAGCAATGTTAGCTTTGTACCTCCAGCACTAAATTAAAAAAGCAAAATTTGGACATCCGAAATGTCTTGACTTCTCTACTACATCTGAGGGTAAGTGAAAAACTGTGTAAATTAGATTTTTGCCAAATTATCCCCATAATAGTTGCCAAGCAAAAATCTCATCCACTTTATTGTCAAATACTAATAGTTTTTCACTGACAGTTAAATTTAAGGTACCTGAATTTCAACGCACTTGTCTTTACATCTGAAACGAATAAAATAGTCACTGTATGTTAAAAGCGACCTAACTGTATTTTTTATTTCATAAGTACCCAGTTGACAAAATTTGCCTGGCTCACTTGTGGGCCACATCCTTGGTATGTTCTGGCCCAGCATACTGCTGGGTCCTTGGCCCAGATCTGGCCCACACACTGTAAAGTGAGTAGAACTAAAGGATATGGCCCAAATCTGGTCCCAATCTGGCCCAACTACATTGATGGTCCACAATATTCATGCCAGAATTGTCCCACAAATGTATACACAAGGCAAAACAGAATAAAGCTGTCCAGGATATGCCTAACATCTACCTGGTAGTCAACCAACACTCACATAGGAAAGCCAGAATTGACCAAAAACATTCTATTTTCTGCCAATATCAGTTTCATATCAGTTCATGTCAGAACCAACTGAAAACATACAGAACTATAAAGCGTTAAATCTGCACTAAAAATTATGTTCCACCAAACAAACAAAACATTACATTTTAATATTTAGGCATGAATGTTAAAAAAAAATAAAACAATAGCGTCCATGTGTGAGACCTCATGCACGCTGCATCAGAGCTAGATAGTTTGTTTATTATTATGGTGCGCCCTCTTGTGGCGCAATAAGAGAGTAGCAAGTGCTTTCCCCAGACCCTTTAACCGCCAAAGTCTGTTTAGAGTGACTGCTGGTTCAGCCAATAAGAGAGAAGATGGTCACGTTTGCCAAACGTTACAGCGAATAAGAATCCAGCTTACAAAAGTGGGCGGGGTTTCAGCCATTACGGACGCAAGCGTTGTTGTTGGAAGAAGAAGTCGATTCAAGAAGCCATTACGTTGCGCAGTTCAATCAAGAAAAACTTACTATTTTTACGTATTCTACGCACTTTTTTACTTTTCCCAAGTCTTATTTAAAACATTATGGCATCGCAGGCAAAGAAGAGAAAAATGAATTTTTCGGAAAGAGAGGTTGAAATAATCGTGGAGGAGATGGAAAAGCAAAAGCACATTTTGGTTAACCACTTCAACGCTGGCGTTACTCACATCACTAAAAATAACGCCTGGATGGAGATACTGAAGCGCGTTAACGCGGTCACCAACTGCCAGCGCGAACTGGCGGAGGTGAAAAAGAAATGGTCCGATTTAAAGACGGAGGTCCGCCGGAAAGTGGCCCAGGCTCGGGCAGCGATGGAAGGCACCGGCGACTGCACCACAGTCCCAGTCATTCTCACTGCCATGCAGCAGCGGATCTGTAATCTGCTGGGAGAAGCCACCATCATCAGCCTGCCTGCTGGGGAGGCTGGAGAGGCTACCGCAGAGATTACGGTGCCTGTGCCTATTAGCTCGGCTACCACGGTTACACTAACGCAAAGTAAGTCAATGGCGTTACCGTAGCGCGATTTAGCCCAGTGCGGAAAAAAACGCATTGAGCTCCAGCCTTCAGCTTAACTAGCCTTGTGCCAGTGTTACCGTAGCGCGATGTGGTCTTTATTTACCACCAAAACATAAAAAAAACTACTAATAAAACGTGCATTCTTAAAGGGGCAATATCCTATTTTTAGTGTATTTTTCCCGTCAGATGTCCACCTGTGTTGTTTGTGTGGGTTTATGAAAAAAAAAAGTCACGCTGTCAACTCTGTTTTTCCTGATTTCTGCAATTTTCATGCACCGTTTCTATTTATTCATGTTGGCAAACAGCAAACCAAAAATATATAAAAAAAATATGTATCTTTTGCACAGGCCACATTTTATGATTTTTTTTTCAGGATGTTAAATTCAGCAAATAAACAGTAGTAAACATTAAAATGTGCAGAAGTGTGTTCTCAGAAAATCAACAGAACATGTAGTTTGACTGTATGACTGTATATATAAATCACGCAGACAGCGAATTTAAAATGGGCTGTTTGCAGCTTAATTTCCATAAAATAGGCTGCATGAGTTGAGAAGTCAATGTTTTCATATTAAATCAAACTCTTTATTAAAAAAAAAAAAACAGCAAAGAAAATTTGCCTGATTAAATGGACACTTGAACAAATAAGGCTGCTTGTAAACCTACAAAAACTACAAAAAATGTCATTTTACTGATCCAGTAAGGGTGCAACATACCTTACTGGCAGAAATAAAGATCATGCAGTAGCTGCAGTAGTCCAATGCTTTTTTATTTGTTCCAAACAGGTATTCAACCAGCACCTGGTGCAGCTTGTGAAATAAAAACACTTGAAGGTAAACCTTTTTATGCACTGTTTTCTGGACACAACAAATCATAGCTGTAAGTTAGCTGACAAACTTGACTAGATTTCTGAAACCTAATATAGATTAAAGGGCAATGCCACCAATTTTTCAAAATTTCTCCATAATTCAGTGGTTGAGATGTAAACAAAATCATTCAGAGTGGTTCAATGTGAAAAAGTCTATTGTAGAGGAGATTAACAATTTAGATTTCTTTACAGTGGTGGTGATGGGAACCAGGGATCGCAATGTCTACATATACACTCTGAATTACTTTTTTGACTGTTTACATCTGAACAATTTGATTATTTAGGAATTTTGAAAAATCTGTGGAATTCTCATTGAACTGTTCCACTTAAATGGTTAATGTGGTTGATTTTGTGTGGAGTACAGCAGCTGAGACCACGTTCCACACGCTTGAGGAGGGCATGGTGGAATACTGCACCACAGAGACCCCCGTCACAGTCACCACAGAAGCTCCTGTGGAGATGTTGGCTGCGCAGGCAGAAAGCTCAGTGAAGCCCCAGGAGCTGAAGAGCCGTATCGCCCTCAACTCAGCCAAGCTGCTGCAGGAGCAGCGCGTCACCAACCTGCACGTCCGTGAGATCGCCCAGCACCTGGAGAACCAGAACGACCTGCTCCAGATGATCCGCCGTTCACAGGAGGCTCAGGCCTGCGCCCAAGAGAGACAAGCCCAAGCCCTAGAGGGCACACAGGCAGCCCTGCTAGCACTCATCCAAATGTTCAGGCCTGCACTGAAGGACTTGAGGAAGTTCCTGCAAAACGCTAACAGTGCAGGCTCAGGGGCTGGCATTGAGACTGGGGAGGGAGTGGGGAACATGTCACAGCAAACTGAAGATGGGCAATAATGGGACATGTTATCAGCTCAAAGAACAGTGAATGGAGTGCGCTTGTGTTGAAGTATGCTTGATGTTGTAAGTTATACTGGTCCTAAGAGGATGCTGTATGATATGCAAGTACATAGTGCCTCAAACCCTTTGTGTTTGTCTGTGCTTATGTGTGGAGATGTGAGTGTTGAAATGTAATGACTTTAGTCATTTGTGGCTTTTATTATAATTTTACACAAGTGGCCAACATACTTTTACTTGAAATTCTGTACAGGTAAGCATTCTGTATTGCATTATTATTTTTTATTTGAAGCATGATAGTTTACTTTAGTCTACATTGTGGTTAAAAACTCAGTTTCTTTTGTTGGACAGAATATGTTACATCTAGTTCAAAATGCCCTCTGATACTACAAGGCACATGTTCACATGTTGAAAAATAAGCTAAGAAATAAATTGGTGACGTAAATTGTTCTTTTTTTAAGGCTTTAAAAACCTAACATCCTAAGTATTGTATGCCTGGTTGCCAGAAGTGGGTGCTATAGTTTAGTATAATTAGGACATAAGGTTGTATAATTACATGTACCCTCATACAAATATCATCATAAATCTTAAATATTTTCAAATTATATTACTTTTACTCATATATTTATGAAGAAATTAATCAGCTGACTTTCCTTTTAGCCATTCGGATTGAGAAATTCATTTGCTGTGTTTAATTCTGCTCTGTTGCCTGGATATAATAAGAATTTTGCTGTTTTTATGCCACCTCAAGTTTTTTTTTTTTTTGTAGCTTGTTTTACTTTTACTTAAGTTGGTATAAACAGATGTAACAACATGTTTACTTGAGTCTGGTTGAAACTACTCAACCCCTGTCCGGTGCTAGCCTAGCCTTTGTGGCAAATACAGTAGGTACAATTTTAATGAATTCTTAAGTTAATTCATACTTAAGTAATTACTGAGTATTTTTGAATGGTAATGTGTGAGGAAAAGAACTGTTAAAGTTCCTTTTTAGGTTTAATTTCATTGTAATGTTGGTGATGGCATCTGTACCACTTTGCAGTTGGTCACACTTTTGACCGTTAAGGTTTATTGTTTGATTACACATTGAAAGGACACCAAAAAGAGGAGGTTAGTGCCCAACAGACTTAAATTCTTATGTTGGTTGAGGCTGGATGTTGGTTCCACTGCATTAAGTACTTAAAGGGAATTCCACTGATTTTTTTTTTTTTAAATGCCACTACATAATTAAATCATTAAGGTAAGATGTAAGTCATTCAGTGTGGTTTGATATGAAGTCACAAGCCAGAATTTTTCACAATGATAGCAAAAGGAGCCAGATGTGTGAAACTGCAGGAAATTACATAACATGCTTATGAATGTGCTGCCTGATGCCTGAACCGTTGTTTTATGATAGTTTTGAGAAATAATTTTGGCCTAAAAGTATTTTTTAATACATTTACAGAGATGTACATATAGAGCGTTATATGACAAAAACTTTTTTTTCAGATTTACCACTATTTCACAATAACCAACATTACATATAATGACTTGTGTAGATTCAGTGTCATTTTTGGATAGCAAATACATTGGCTATAATTAATTTGAAGACATTGTGACCCCTGGTTCCTATTACTACCACTGTACAGATATCTGAGTTGGTCAGTGTCTCTTTGACGAACCATTTCAAAAGAAAACATTCTGACTTTACATGTCAACAATTGAGTTACGCAGAACATAAAAAAAAAATTGGTGGATCCCCCTCTAAATAGTTTGTAGGTTATTTTTACTCAAGTCATTATTTCACTGAAGTAATAATAGCTTTTCTTGAGTGTGGATTTGGACTGTTTTTGTGTTAACAGAAAGCAGTTTTCTTTAGAACTTGGAGCTTTACAGGAGAAATTAACATAATTACATAAGATTTTAGAGTACAAACATGACAAATTTCGTAAGACATTAGCTGAACGTTCACATTCGGAAAATATTAGATATTGTAATAGACGCCAAAATTTTTTTTTGGTCATTTTAACGGTTCTCTCTGAACCGCCAGAGGGAGACATAGCGGTCTTGCTCCGTTATGACCAGGTTTTAATACGAATGTCAATTTCATGATCAGGACATTTTGCTTTGCGCGTCTGTTCCTCCACAGTCAGACTATGTTTTTAGATTGACTGGTAACCCAAACAACGTTCAAGGGGAAACATGAACTAAATCAGTGAAATCCACCCATTTGGAAATCATATATATAGCAATAAATGGACTTCAAATATATGACATATAGTCATTGAATGTATGATTAAAAAACAATGTTCCTATATGCTGGTTTCATTCACACACACACACACACACACACACACACATATGTATGTATATATATATATACATATGTATGTGTATATATATATATATATATATATATATATATATATGTATATATATATATATATATACATATATATATAAATATATCTGTGTATATATGGCAATATATCAGATGTCCGCATGGGCAGTTTATAAAGTTTGTTAAACTGAGTATTATTCCTCTAAGCCACCAACGTAGGTTATGTGTTGTTCCGGCTCTCAGGACAGTGTCCTGTGTGGCCGGGAAAGTCCTCCCCGAGGGCGGCGCTTAGCCTCGTCATTGTGGACGAGGAGAAGTGGAGACTCTAAAGCTGGACACTCAGAGATTTGTGTGATTTCTGTACAATATCACCCCTCAGACACTGTAAACGATGTAGTTTAGGCGAACAGTCTGTCAGTACGTGCTGTGTCCGGTAGTCTAAACCAGTGAGGCTCGGTAGGATCTGCTAGAAGCACGGTTTAACGGTTTTATGAGGTGCGGCGAAAAAGAAAGAAAGAGCACAGCAACTGAATTTCTGTCCCTTTTTTGTCTGTTTTCTCTGACGGGGCGAACTGCTGGACAAACCCAGAGTAAGTACGGAGGAGTTTCGAAAAAATGTTCTTTAATATTTGTATAACATTTAAATGTGTAGAGTTTTGCTGTGGAGGTTTCTTTGCTAGCGAAGAGCGATGCTAGTGTTTACTCTGAATGTGCTCTTTCTTTCTTTCTCCACAGGTAAATAAACCGCTGAACTTCCCTGACTAGCTAACGTTAGATGCTTTTTGAAAACGAAAAAGAAGAGCTTATAACCTCCAAATGAAACAAATGGTTTCTTTATCACAATAAATAATGGGTTTACCCTGACATTTAGTTTTTATTAACGGTTAGATTTTGTCAAGCACTTCGTCCTCAGACTCAGGAGATTAGTATTTTTTGTGCAGGCTTGTTGGTCGATGGCGTTTTTAGTCAAGAAAAAGAAGTTCAAATTTCAGACGCACTTTACACTGGAGGAACTGACAGCTGTGCCTTTTGTGAATGGAGTGCTCTTCTGCAAGATCAGATTGCTGGATGGAGGAGACTTTGCCACATCATCCTCCAGGTAACACTTCTTTTTTTAATATAAACTGGACTGACTAGAGACTGTTTATTGCAGCTGTGCACATAGTTAGGCTGTTATAAGCATTTACACACTTTTGTCGCTGACGATTAACTCATGATCAATTTTATGAGTAATGTAGGCTTATAGTTTCCACTCTTTTAGAGTGCTTTTTTCACAGGCTGCAATGTACAATGGCCTCCAAAAGTATTTGGACATTTATGCCATACTCACAGATGCGTTAATGTCATTGTGTTCAAAAACAAACTGTCAAATGAAGTGGCTTTTATTCATAATAGACCATTCTAGGACTGCTTTTTATTTTTTGGAAAGTGTTCTTTCTAAAGGCGAGTTCCAGATTATTATCATTTGAGCAGTTTCTTTGCAGGTTTTTGCAGGTTTCCATCCAAAATGTACACTTTGTACACTTTTGAGTTCATGAGCTCATCAATGTACACAAGCTCACCAAAAGCACTGTAAGAAGCCCAGACTTTAACGTTCACACCTCTGTTCTTTACACTACCTTTAGTGCAGTCAGGTTGTAAATCTTTTTCAGGTGTTTTCCACACAGAAGAGTCTGCTATCAGTTTGATATTATGCCAAACATGTTTGTTTCTGAAAAAATATCACTTTGTTAAGCATTTTATGAGGTAACCTCAAGAACTTCTTTAAAGCCACGTGTTAAATGTATGAAATGTCTTTTTGGAGCCACTGTATGTATATTCCTGTCATCATTCTGCATCATTCTCTTCATCAATTCTGCAACATAGTGACCTAATACAGTAATGTGAACATACATTTGCTTTAAATTACCACAAATGATAATAAAATTACCACAAATTATTTGTCTGAATGATCTATCAGCAATCTAGTAGAATACCTGTTAAGGGAGCGAGGAAATAGCATGTGAGATGGGAATCCGCAAGTGATTGTGCATATGCTTAAATATAGCTTATTGAAAGTGCTTTTACATTCACTCTGAATAGAGTCTGATAGTTTTAGGCTCTTGTTAGTAATTGCTTGCCATGCCCTGCTTGCCTAGCAGCAGTAAAATGAGAGAGATTTGTGGTCATTATTGATATGATGGCAATTAGAAGTCTCCAAACTGGACTATGAAAAGAACAGTCCACTTTTGGATGTATGCCCCTGTGATCTATAGTATAGGTAGTTTTCCTGACTGCACTCTTAAGCTTGGAATGTTTTCTTCTGCTTGTTTAATTAAAGGACAGAAACCGCAGGATAGATTCTGGGTTCAAGATAAATACTGTCTTGTGGATATGCTATGTAGTATGAGCTGTATATCATAGGAAACGTTTAGACACCCTCCAGATTGAATCAAAGCACACAGCAACATTGGGATCAAATTACAGTCAGCCCTCTCGTCTGTTTGTAAAGCAGACACTTTGGCTGGTTCAGAGGTAGGCAGTTGTTTTGGCAGATTGTCCCGTCTCTGTCTCGTTTCCCAGCCCTCTGCACATACCCACACACACACAGTGAATAACAGGAAGGAGAGGGTACACTGTCCACATCATCAGTGATTCTACATAGCTTTCACCTTTCCCCCATCCATCATCTCTCTCAGCCGAGCCCACTGAGCTCATGAGCCCTTTACCCGTACATATTCTCACACAATGGAAAAAAAGCATTTACTAACTAGGACTAAAGGTGGTATGGCAAAAGTACAGCATCACAATATTTGAAGGCATTTTTATGATATACAGTAAGTTTGATAGTATTTTCGAAGTTGTAACAGTAATGCCACATTTGTTTAAAAAAAGGCTATGAATACAATGTTTTTTATTTAATCAAACATATTGAAATTAGAAATTTCTTTTTAAGAAGAAACAGGAGAAACTATCCTACTGTTAAGGAATGAATAATCAAAAATAAACATTTTAAAAGATAAGCACACCCACTCAGCCACTTGTAGTTTATGTAGTTAATATTCACTGGTTGTTGTTTACAGACTCTCTGTAGTTGGTCTAAATCAGATTTTTTATGATACATGTAGCTGTTCATGGCTCTAGGAGTACTGACGATACCGCTGGCGAGAATCGTCAGAGAGTTTCCCGAACAAGTTAAAACAATCTAAAGACACCTGCCACACTCACACTAAGTTTTGGCTAAAAACAGTTAATGTGAATCCGCTTTTAAGGCACGTAGTCTAACATCTAGTATTCTGTTTACATTGCTCTATGTAGGCTGTACCCTTGTGAGGTGTGCCCCCCCCCCACTTGTGTGGACAAATTGCACCCTTAGATGAAACCCATAATATACTCAAAAAAGCATATTGTAACTGAATTCATCACAATGATAATAAGCGAGCATGTTAAAGGGGAATTCCAATTTCTGTGTACATGGCTGAAATGTAAACAAAGTCATTCAGGAATACTTTGATATGAAGTTTTTAATTGTAGAGAAACTTACTGACTCAGAGGTCATAATGTCTATGACGCAAATATAATTTTATTTACTATCCCACACAACAGTTGATGCTACATGTCTTTCGAGCTTTTATATATTATGTTAATAATGACAAAATAGTGGTAAATCTGAAAAAATAAATTTTCTTTGGGTACTATTTTGCCTTAAAACACCCTGCATGTACCTTTCCACCATGAATGGATAAAAAACTGTTTTAGGCCAAGATCTGCTCTCAGAACTATCAGAAAACAATGTCTTGTACATTATGCAGCATATTCATAGCCATTTTGTGTTATACTGTTGTGTGAGGAAGGTTTTAGAGGCATTAAATACATCAGACGTCTGGCTCCTATTACTGCCACTGTGAAGAATTTAGACTGACAAGGTAGGTTTCTTTAGAACGGTTTTCACATCAAACCACTCTGACCACTCTTAATGATTTATTTATGCAGAAATTTCGAAACATTGGTGGAATTCCCATTTAATAGGGCACTGAGTCATATGGGCTCCATAATACCACAGCCAGCAAAGTTATACAGAGTCAGTATGTGAACTAGGCCTGGCAAGGAGAGAGGTTTGGGACTTGGAACACAGTCAATTGTTTAGGTCTCATTTTCCCTCTTCCATCTGACGTTCTCATGCAAGTCACACACACCACATGCTCTCCTGTCTTCACCCCTGCTTTCCCACACACAAGAGCACAAATGCACATCCACTTTGTGCTGAAAGAATGGGAAATAGAGCTTGCAGTGTGGATGAATAGAGTGGAGGAATAATTGAAAAGTCAACTAGTTAAAATTTGCATGAATTTTGGAGGCTAGAGAATATATGTTATTATTTTTGTTAGTCTTTTGTTAGTTTGTCTAAATTCAGTGGTTGAGACGTAAAGAAACTCACTCAGAGTGCTTTGATGTTACCCTGTGCATTATGGAGAAACTTACTGACTGATTTCTTTACAGTGGTGGTGACAGGAACCAGGGATTGCAATGTTTACTATGCAAATGTAGACATTGTATTTACTATCTAAAATGACCAGTGAACCTACATGTGTCTTCTGAGTTTTATATGTAATATTGATAATGGTAAAATAGTGGTAAATCTGGGGAAGAAAGTTTTCACTGGGTGCTATTTTGCCTTACAATGCCCTGCATGTATGACTCCGGCATTAAAGGGAAATTTCTCAGATTTTTCAAAACTTCTACATAATTCAGTTGTTAACTTATTAACATAGTTGTTCAGAGTGGTTTGTTGTGAGATGTATGATTCCAGAGAAACTTGCAGAGTCAGATTTGTTCCTAGCGGTAGTGATGGGAACCAGACATTTGAAGCCTTTAATGTAGTTAAATACTACCTCACAGAAAGTTATTAAACACAATGGTTATGAAAATTTTGCTCGACTGGACTATATTTGCATTGATATAATTGCTGCACAAGCTAATAAAATCTAGCCAACATAGTTTAGGCCTTTGATTTTCTGGCATGAAAGCAATGAGGAAGATAGCTAGGAAGATACAACTTTTACACTGTTAAAAATGAAAGACAGCTCAGCTTAAAATGTTAAATTTCTCTTTTTTTTTTACATTGTATGACACAGTAATATGTTCTTACTTCCTGCTTTTGGCCATTGTAAGATGCAGGACAACATTTTAATTAGAATAAGTGAGATGAAAGAGTAGGGGGCGGTATGAAATGTGACGCTGGGTAGCAGTTTTGGAGTAGAGGAAGACTTGTGCAGGGTGTCTGACTTGGCGCTGCTGGAGTAGGTGAGAAGAGCAAGGTGTCATTACTAGCTCACGAGATTGGAGAGGCAGCCCTTATGTTGCTTTCTCCACATCACACCATTACCGTACTGCAGGAAGGAGAATGAAGCCTCATTTGTTTTCAGGGTTTCCTAAAGAACATCTTATGAGTTTGACTAGAACATCTGTGGGAACATCTTCAGGCTAGAATGTCCTCAAGGCTGGGTTATATAACAATATGTTATTGTTATTATGATAAATTATGTCATAATATGCTTTTCTGAGTATATCAAGTATCATCAGTGCTTCAAGAACAGTCAACAAGTGCAAATACCATAACAAGACTTTGAGTGATTATAGAGAGCTTGTAAACAACCACCAGTGCCTAGTAACTGCATAAAATACATAGTAACAAGTAGCGGATTGGATGTTGGCCAGTTATGTCATTATCTTTTTTTTGTTTGTTGTCCATTTCAAATTCTTCACAAACCTCGGAAAAGTGAAATATTGTGAAACGTATCATTCACTGTGAAAACTATTGTGATGTTATAGTTTTGCAGCCCTTAAATATCTTATTTGCTGTAATTTAGTACGTTTTGGTTCTTATTCATCGAATTACCTTTGAGATGTTCAGAAGTAGAAGCTAGTAGTTGAAATAAACAGTATGCATAAACCCTTGTTAACCCAAAGTCTGGAAGTTTTGGTATGCAGAGCTGAAAATAGAAGCCTCAGAACCAGCGCAAACAAGCTAACCCTACATTCTCCCTTGTGTGTGGTAGGAGGGTGTGGGCTTAGAGGCTTTAACCTAAGTATTTATTGCTTGTAACAAGCTAAAAGAGT